GGCATGTGGGTTCCGCCGTGCCGCCCCGGGGGGCTCGGCCTGGTGCAGGCCGCTGTGCCGGGGGTCTCTGGCCTGCGCCGTTACCGGTGTCCTGCCTGGCAGGCGGTGATAGCTGCAAGGGCCGTGTGTCGCCGTCCGGTAGTGCTGATTACTCGCGGTGTGTTTCCCTCGGGAAACAAGTAGGAAGTGCTAGTAAGATCATGCAGGCAACGTTTCTCGATGCGTATTTTGTCTGTTAACGTTTTCTTTTCGTTTTTCTTTTAACAGATGGCAAGTGATGGCCAGAAACGGATAATCCAGTTAACTGGGTTTAAAAAAGGAGAGAAAAAGGCCCTAGTCGAATGGCTGTTCAAACTGGACTGTGTTTTTTTAGATACTAAGGTATTGTTCAGTAAAGTACCTGATGGTTAGAGCAGAAAGAAAAAATTCGAGTCTTAAAGTAAAGGACTGTGCAGTATTTTAGAGTTGAGTATAAATAGCCAAGGAAGTTAAACTGTTTCAAGTGATACAAGTGTGTTGTTTTGTTTTTGTTTTATTAGAAATACAGAAATTGTACACATCTTATAGCAAAAAAGCTATGCAAGAGTGAAAAGTTCTTAGCTGCCTGTGCTGCTGGTGAGTAAAAGGGTTGCTGTAAAATTTCATAGGTTTGTAACATAGGATTCGAAAGGACCCTTAAAAGGTTTCTCGTTACCTGTTTTTGTTTTGTAAATGAACTGTCTTATGAACCCTCATTCTTGTTCCATTACCTTGACTTTTAACATAGTATGATGTTCAAGTTCTGACGTACTTCTTTCTGCTTTAGAATTTTTCCTAAATGATATTCCTGCCATCTTCCTTTATTTGATTTGCATCTGTTCCCAAGCAGGAATTTTTGTTATATGTTAGTTAGATCATGAAGTCATATCCAGATGATATGGGCGCTTAAAAATGGATTGCTTAAAAAGGGGACAGAGAGAGTATGGGCACCTGTAGTCAGCATGGATTTTTGACACCAAATTCACACACAGCATTCACTGGTAGAGGTCACTGTCTGTAAGTTCCTGTGTATGCAGCAAGAGAAAATTCCAGGCTTTTGCCATCCTGACAGAAGCCTCTAGTCTTTCCTCTTGCTTTTCTTTTACCTCGGGCCTGATGCTCAAATCCCATACATAAGCAACCAAAAGGCTTTTAGAATGACAATTTTCTATTTTAATATTTCTTTATAGAGAGATTACCTGGGAGGATTTCACAATGAGTTTAGAAAATCTTGCCGAGTTAAGACATTTCACAATACCACTCTGTTAACTGGTTAAACATGATCTTTATTTTCTCTAGATTACCGAAGTGTTAAAGTAATTTTTTAGGATGCCTAATCTTAAATTTATAAGATAACAGACAGAAATAACTAAACGTAGATTAAGGGTAACAGAGATAAGTAAATTTCTTGATTTCATATGTGTACCTATGGGCCATATTAGCAGGCATTTTCAATCATCTGTCGCTGCTAGAATTTAGTGGTATGTGTGTATATATATATACACAGATGATTGCTTGTACTAATGTGAAATTCTGATTGCACTCTAATAAAAAATGAAATAGACCAAAAATTTCCATTGGGGAAACAATATTAAAATGCAGATAGATTTGTGGCATAGCACTTCATTTTACCTGTTATAAACCTTTGAGTTAACATTTTCTTACTTTTCGGGATTTAAAAAATCTGGAGATGTTTTCTTGAACTGAGTGGAAATGATATATGTACTGTCCACATGGCAATGCAGAACTGTCATGTTTCTATACTTGCAAATCTTCCCCAATACCATCTAGTACTTTTTAATCGTGGGAGAGCTGCTGTTTTTACATAATCATTGTTCTTTTCCTTGATGGCAGAGAGAATGTGTTCGTTCCTAGTGCAGTTTTTCCCAAGTAAGTGTAAAAGATCATGTTTAAACCCATTTAGAACTCCCTAGAGCTGAACAGAAACACTAACAAGAATGCCAGTCTTCATGGACTTCCTAGCTGACAGAAGTTTTGAGGTGGAAACTTTGAAATGAAAGTGATTTTAACATACAGGTTGTGCACAGCGTACCTTTTCCAGTCATAAGTCTACTGGTACCTATGCTAGGTTATGTAGAAGTACCATCTGTGCTCCTGCACTGAGACATTTTGCCAGTCAACCCTGCTGTTCTGTGAAACCAATTAGGTTCACACAATTCAAGTCAATTTCTCTTACAGTATCTTCTGTAGGTAGTGTTTCAATACAGGAGCAGGGTACTAACCACAGCTCTTGACCTGAACCTGTAAGAAGAGAGAGACAGAGAAAAAGGGGAAGATCATTACTTACAGTATCAAAAGCATACATGCGGAAGATGAAAGCAGAGAGGCGGAGGAGGTGGAGCCAAGGGATGAGAGAAAAGGATGTGAAAAGAAGAAAGAGGAAAGACAAAAGTCTAAACTGTATTCCCCTAATATTGGTATTCACTACACTTGCAGTGCAAGTAATATTAAGAAGGTATAAAAGAAACAGCTTACATGCTAAAGCCTTCGTTCCTCTTTTTAATCATTGGTGGTAAAACATTTTTTCAGTTTACTGCATTTTAGTACATTTGTAAAAGTGTCAAATGATATTAAAGGGTTAAGCAAGGTTTTGTGGAAGTCATAAGAATAAAATCTGGGAAGCTGAAAAAATCCATTTGCGGACTTTTGAGGAGATAGACAAGTATTTTATCTAGGAAGGGTAAAAAGGTACTTCATCATTAAAAGAAGACAAAACGATTTTCAGTGGCATTGTGAGATTTCCGATTCTAAAGTGTGAAGAGGAGAAGTCTTGTAGTAGGAAGAAGTTTTTAAAATGGTACTTATAATTGTAGCTTTTATTTGCACAAGAAAGGTTGAAGTTAATTTTATGTTAGATCTTCAGTTGATTGCCATTTGTCTGCACAAAAAATCTTTTGTGGTTGACAGTTCATTTGCTTTTTAGGAAAGTGGATACTAACTAAGGAGTACATAATTAATAGTGCCGAAAGTGGCAGATGGCTTGATGAAACAACGTACGAATGGGGATATGAAATTGAAAAAGACACCCATTATTCACCTCAAATGCAATCTGCACCTAAAAGATGGCGCGAAGAACTGACACACTCTAGTGCTCCAGGGGCCTTCCACAGATGGAAAGTTGTCCTCCTTGTTAAGGAAGGTGATAAACGAATGGCGTCTATTAGAAGGTAGGAGGATATGTCTTACAGCTTAAATAATGAACGATGGAACACTTATTGTATGGTTGAACACGTTTTTGTTCTTCCATCCCAGTTAATTTGGTCCATAATAACCTCCCGCTCTTCAAATTCTGAATTGTTTTCATTAATATCCTGCCATACTTATTATAATAAAATTACTTTAAATCTTTTACATCACTGCTTTTCTTTCTTTCTTTCTTTTAGTATCTTGTCAAAAATAACACACATTTGCATATGTTTGCATCTTAAATGAGCTGCTTACAGAAACTTTTTTCATGAGGCAAGATACATAGGCTTAAGTTTTTTATGGGTAATTGTCTAATTTGTGTGGATGTTACATTCAAATAATAGCTGCAACAGGATACTTTATTTCACTTGTGTGGGTGACCTGAGCCAGCTGTCAACTGTGTGTTAGGGATCCGGGCCACACTGTGACTGACCTGATAGTTTTTTTTGTGTCATATGTATTCAACAGCTTCTTGTAGTTCTGAAGACCTAATTTCTACTGTAACAGATGTTTCTGATGTGATGTAAATACAGATAGTTCAGAATGGAAAGGAGAAACGTATAAAGGAAAAACGGAGGAAAGGAAAACAACTGAAGTGCAGGAATTCTGGGAATTTTTTTTTTCCCCATACTCTTCCTTCACATTTGGATTCCATGGTTTATATACTACATTGAATCACACACAGAGCATGATAAGTAATGTTTGCTTCTGGTACAGTAAAAAACATCCTCTGACGCTCTTTTTAGTGCTGTGCACTCATTTCAGGAGCAGATCCTATCCTACTCTCCTCTGTTGAAATCCCGGTTAGTCAGGAGTACTTCTCTGGTCTGGGAGTGCCACAGATGCACAGGCATGAAGGGAAGTGCAGTTTGTCTGGTTGGTCGTGGTCCAGGGCTGCACATGCATCGCAGAATGCCTCTCCGTCTGCAGTTCATAAAGACAAAGTGAGGTGTAGCTGAAGTTACCAACCTCTGATTTTGCCAACCGAAGGCTTTCTAAGTATGCTATTTTCTTGGCTGAGCAGAAGAGTTTACTATCTGCTGTCTTGTAGAAGGATGCAGTCATTGTGTTACACTTGTGAAAAATGCTGGTTTTTTGTAAAAACTGCTTATGCAGATCTTTGTCATAACAGTATTGAAATGCCGTCTTGCACAACTCTGTTCGCAATAGAAGTAACCTTTAACAGGGACTACATCAGCAAGACAGTTGAACTGGGAGTTTTGTGGAAGGAATCTCTTTTTCCAGACTGTTTCCCATTCATCAATGTGGGCATCCTTTTACTCGGTCAGAAAACACTGAAAGGTAGATGTTTTTTGTCTCCAGCAAGTACTGTTTTCAGTCATAAAAGCCACTGTAGTTTTGGGGAAAGATTTATTTTTCTCTAATATTTACAACACTGTGCCTTTTTTTCCCCTTTCTGTGCTTTCCCTGCCTTTATTGTCTGGCTGTTGGATAGGTGTGTGAGATAAACATAATTTTCTTTTTACATACTTTTTCATCATTCTTTTTTACATAAAAACGCCACGTATATCCAGCACATCAAGAGACCTTATTTCTTCCACCTTTTTTTTTGTCTGGCATGCTTTCTAAAAGAGAGGGATAGTTGCAACAGTACAACTCTGGAAGTTGCCCCTGGGTGAACTTTTGCATGCAATGGTGGCCCAAAGACAAATCTGTTTTCTGCATATGACATTGGACAGAACCAAATGCTGTAAATGACTCCACAGTGCAGTCCAAAAGCGTATTTGCATTATGAAAATACCATGTTGTAGTTCAGAAAAGCAGTACACCGCTTTGCTATTTTTTTGCAGTAAACCACTTTGTTGTAAAACTTAATTGAAAGACCATTGTCATTGTGGGGGACATAATGCAATAAATTATAGCTGCTGTCATCGAATTTGATCTTTGAAAAAGTGCACAGGTAAAGTTTTCCATCAGTTATGTAGGAGATGTACATTGATTTTAATTAATTGTGTTAAATTGTGAAGAGAAGTATGTCTGGTTAAGTGCTTTACTTTTTTGAAGACTATTAAGCACCCTTTTATCCTCCTGATGGAGGCTGGGCAATGTCCTACATCTAGAACCCTTATTCTCTTGCACTTACATGCTTGTAGTTTGTGACCGATAATGTAGGTTTAGGCAGTATTAATATAATGCAGTAAATCTTTCCAAATGTGTTTGTTTAGAGTTCTTCAAGCTGGAAAGGCAACCATATGTTCATCTCAAAATGCAGAGCGCAATATAACCCATATATTCATCAACAATAATTTTTTTCCTATGCAAAACACAAAATGTCTGTCTGAGGCTCGATACTACCCTTGGCAATATCTAGGAGATTACCTTTTTGAGGTAAGTTAAAAAATGTATCTAAAATTAGTTTTTCATTGTCATTGTTGGCAATTTATGTCGGGTTTACCGATTACTGTAAATGTGGCATTAATAATAGAGGGGAATATGATCAGCCTGAATGTTTTGTAATTTGATTAAACGTTAATACAGCTTTCTGGTGCTGGGACTGTTTATGCAAGAGAAGAGAAGGCTCGGGAATGTATATAAATACCTGAAGAAAGGGTGCAAAGAAGACAGAGCCAGGCAGTTTTCAGCAGTGTCCTGTGAAAGGATGAGGCAGTGGACACAAACTGAAGCACAGGAGGTTCTGTCTGAAAGTCAGAAAATGTTTTTTTGGTTTTTTTTTTGTTGTTGTAAGGGCAATGGAACACTAGAACAGGTTGCCCAAAGAGCCTGTGGAGTCTCCTTCCTTGGCAATACGAAAAGCAATCCTGGGCAACTAGTTCTATGTGGCCTTCCTTGGGCTGGGGATTTGGACCACATGAGTTCCAGAAATCCCTGCCAACTTCAACCAGTTACTACTTCTTCCTCTTCCTGCTTTGTGCTACAATTACTGGAAAAATTAATTAGATTTCAGGAGGAAGTTCTAGTGTAGGTGTCCATCAACTAAACAGTTATTCACAAAATACCAAGAAAAAAAATAGTATTTTTCATTGATACTCTATTTTGGTAAGGATTTCATGTGTGTATAAGTTTCTATCTATCTATCTGTCTACTTCCGTATGTGAATATATATATATATATGTTTTTTTGAGTTTGGCACGCACCATTAAGCTTTATTTGAATAGTATATTCATGCTTCAAGATCAGTGTAATCACTTCTTTGGTCAACTGACCTCACTTATTCTACCTATTTTTCATAATGTTATAGATAGACTATGGTAAAATGGTATGTAGATTATTTTGTTAAGATTCACATTCTTAACTCAAAATCAGTTTGCTAGCAGTCCTTCATGGCTAGGAAGAACTGGTGGTTGTTATACGAATTTTGTAAGGGAACTGTATACAAGGCAGAGGAAATTCACTTAGACTATTTCTGTGCTAGGATTCTAATGAAAGTCACCTGTATTCCGTTTTCAATCAATGCACTGAGCTTGATGCTACAAGAATTACAATTTCCTAAAATAATTGTATGACCTGTTATCTGAGCCTATGTTTAACTCTCCATTACTGTGGAAAGATCATTCTGTACTTGTAGACAAAACTAAATAAAATTAAACTAAAGGATTCTGTAAGCAACCAGCAACCCTGTGAGAACAGATTAGCATGCCAAGAGGACTTTCTAAGAACATCTCATACCAACAGTTTATATCCTGCAGTGCTTCTCCACTTGTAGAACTCTCATCCATAGAGTCAGAAGGAACATAATTGCATTTCAGAAAATATTAGAGTCCTTACAGCTCAATCACATGCTTACGTGTGTGAAGAACTCGATTCAACTCTCTCACTTTCCATCTTAGAAAACTTGTTGCTATTCATGAGAAAATTTCTTTTACTAGTCAAAAGTGTTAAATTCTTGAGAATGCAAGCTCTATTTCTTGGTTGGTAGAAGAGGATTCTCCAAAGTCCTGTAATAGCTTTCTTCTGCTAACTGCACTAGAACATGAGACAGTATGTCATCAGATCCACTAAGACATGAGGACCTGGATGGACCTTACTTGAAGAGAGACACTAAAAGTCATAATTCCAGAGAGACAGAGTTTGTATGTTGGAATGGCTAAGCCATGTGAGGCATCCAGTGCAATATCAAATGGTTCAGAGTGTTAAGTTTTACCACTCAACTCCAAAATTGGATCAGGAGTTAAGTTTACAGTAATGCGAAAGAAAGGCAGAGCAAGAAAAGCAACTTGTTTCTCTTTTGCCTTTCCATCTGAGCTATGAGGGAACATGTCACTGTTCAGTGAATTTTCTTATATGTGAGGAATTCAGTAGAGCTAGAAGTTTTTCTTGCTATTTCCCGAGAGAGAGATGCCTTATGTTTCATAGTTTGCTTACCAGATGCACTATTCACCATTGACTCAGATGCACTATTCAGAACTTCTTAGCATTTTGACCTGGAACTACTCAAAGGCCTCAGAAGACTCTTCTAGCCTGGTAGTTCCTCAGACTGTGGGATGATTTCGGTCAACTGCTAAATGAAAATACCACTTTTGCAAGCAAGTAGGAGGTAAGACTCTTTCTTACTAGGAATAACCTAATTAATTTGAAAATCCTTTGGATTCTTCAGATCAAAGCATATATTTCGCTCTTCCTGTTTTAATGATCAGTAAAGCTACTACGAAAGTGTGAGAAGAGGGTTGAAAAATCGCAAGTGTTTACACCCTGAATAAAAACCATATCAACATGGAATGTCAGTCTAGTGCTTACTCTCTTAATGAAAGTTGTTTAGGGAAGCTGTTAGATAGACATTTACTTTTAATAGAGGAATGAGTGTCAAGTTTTTATGGCTACTTCACCTTTTATTGATCTCTATGAGAAGTGTTTCTTGCTATGCACCCTGAATTTCTCCCAGGTGTGATAACAGGTTTCCATCTTAACCAGCCCATTAACTTGCATGTATCTTTTTTTTTCTTAGATTTTATTAAAGTAATTCACCTCAGAGGCCAAGAGAGCATTAGCTTTCTATTTAAATGCATCTAAAGAACTCAGAAAACTGCCAAGACTCCTGGTCTCTTAAAGGAGAAGAATAAAACATAGGCAATCAAATCATAACACTTGTCCAGATGTATTGGGCTTTATCAAGAAATGTTACGGACATGCTCTCCTTTTCTCTCCCTCCCAGAAGTACTTGGCACATAATTCATTAGAGTGTTCCAACTTTGTAAATTGTAGTTCTGCTATTTGACTGCTACTTCTAGCAAAAATAAATGCCCACATACATGTGCAGATACTGAATTCAGCAAAACAGTGTCATTCATTTTTTCAGTGGAACTGCACTGACTTTCAGAGTATTCTTGTAATGTTTTTTGAACCAAGTCTTTGCTTCATCTTTATGTTTCAGTATATATTTCAGTTCTTATAATCTCAACCTCATAACTCTAGTGTTAAAATACTCTGAGGGATTGTCATTAATGATTTGATCCTACATAGTGTCAAATTTATTGGTTCAGGATATTAAAGTCGTGCTTGATTTTAGGGAGCTAGTCTCATACTTAAACAGAGATTTTAAATGTTTTATTGGATGCATACTAGAATTCATAAAGTTTTGCTGAGGTGGTACTATAAATTGTTTGGATGTATGTATTTTTATAAGCATGTTGAAATAATGTCCAGAAGGTGCTACAAGAAGTAAAGACTAGTTAATGCATCAGAGTTCAGTTATTGCTGGCTCATCAAAGCTATTTACAGCTCTTCTAAAGTTACCAAAAGTCCTGAACTCTCTTCTGTAATGTGCAACAAACTCAGTGTTTATTTACAAATATTGTTATGCACGTGCCAAATACCGTTGATTTGTACATTTAAGGGAAATCCAAAACCAGGATGAAACGTGCAGTGTTTGAAACTTTATCTTGAAAACTTAAAGGTCTGAACTGTTCCTGCCTTGCGTCTTATCACTGCATGTGCTAGTGTGGGGTTTTTTTGCCTACTGTCATTTCCCATGTTTCCCATACTTCATCTACCCATCAGATTTAGGTGTTTGAAGTAGAAGGAAAGCTACCCCAAGCCTTCCACACCTGCTCCTAATAAAAAAATGGTCATGGGTACGGTGACCAAGAGGATCACTTCACCTCTATCTATATTCTTAACTCATCACGCTGCAGGAGGAGGCTGGTTTTGTGGTTACATGTTTATTTGCCTAAAACAAAGCTGGTGTTTTATTCTTAGTCTGTGTATCTTTATGAAAAGCGTGAATTGAAACTTTTACTGAAATGTCTTGCTCTCATATCCTGAAATAACTTTCAAATTTTTTTGTAGTTACATTTTACTAACAAAAATCTTGTGGCTTTGTTAGGAGTTTTTTTCAGAATGAGTTTGAAACCAGTTTGAGAAACACTCTGTCATTCCCTCTGCTGAAGAAATAGCTGGAAATGATAGACGGACTTAGCGAATAAATTACTAAAAAATAAAGCGCTTTTAATAGGCAAGAACTGAAAAGATGTCATTGTAGTGACATTGTAGTGGCCTTTATAAAATAAATGCATGGTCATAGTCAAATCGATGTAAAAATGTCTTTAAAAGTCCTTACTACATCTTTGATTAATTGAAGGATGTGGGCTTTGGGTTTAGTTTTTGAAACTAAAAGTCCAAAGACAGAATCAATTGTGGAAACATAGCTCTTGTTACAGCTACTGGGATTGGCTCAGAGTTTAGTAAAAATAATTAAGGGGAAGCTTACATTAGTAATTCTTATGCTATAGCTTCCTACAACATCAGTAGTTTGTTTCCAAACCACCAGCTGTTTATCTGGCACACAACGTAGACCCTAGAACAATTACACGAGCATGCATGTGCACACAAGGGTTATATATAGAAAGGCTTAGCACATAAAAGCTGTTTTAGAGCATTAGCTTTGAAACGTAAGGAGTGGTATTTTTTTGCTCTCCAGAATGAAATACAAAATACTGAAGATACCCAAATGAACCGTTTCCTGGCTGCAGAAGAAACTGACCAAATCATGCCTAACATGCAGCTTGCCGAAATGAAAAATGCTATTATAAAACATATGTATTTTGCTGTGGTAAGTAGCAGTCAGTTAATGCTTTCTTAGCATAAAATGTAAAATGTATATTATTAATTTTATCTTTCATTATAGGACTGAGCTAAAAAGGAGATATTGTAACACCTTTTGAAATAGTAATAATGCCTTTTAACCTGCAGTGTTTAATAATCCAATATTTACTACATCTACCATTAGCTAAAGTATAATTTAGTAGTGGTAATTGGTAGGCATGGGTGTGTGTAAGACATGGTGACTACTTAAAATCTTGGTGTAATATGTGAGATTAGTAGCTAATGTTCAACAAAATGTCATTGGATTACGGTCTTTCTATGACTTCCCTGTTATCTAGCTGAACGACACACATTTTTAAAACTACCTGTATCTCAGAGCAAATATTTTGTTGATTCATATGAATGTTTTTTATTACAAATAAAAAAATAGAGCTAAATGCGCTCCTTTGTTTTAATGTTGTCACATCTAATCCTGATAAACATGCTACATTAGTAATTAAAAACATTATTCCATATCTTGGAAAAAAAAATTACTTTGAGTTAGAGTATTTTACCTGTAAGTTACAGTGATGCAGATGATGGTGTGTAAGTACTTTTGTAGGAGCCTGCTTACATGAAGCACTGTATGGTTTTGTAACTGCAAAATCAGGTCCTCTCTGTATATTAATATACATCGTGTATGTAGCAAAAGAATTAGAATTTTAAGTCCTCAGAGTACACAATTTTAAACACAAGATTAACAAATAGAAGAGACTTGCTGCTTCAAACCTTCAGATGCTACATCTTTTACCGATGACATTTTACTAAGACTATACCCTCCAGACCTTTAAGAAATAAATGTGTGTCTGATTTTTCACATATACTATGTGTGTACTACACACAACAAGTGCACTTACCAGATTATCTTTCCTTCAAACTATTGTGTAGTTATGTGCAGATGGAGTAGTAATACTAAAGACAATGTCTCCTCAAAGATTTTTTCGGTGACATGTATTAGTAAGATTGTAACACTAGGCCATAACTAAATATAGCAATAATAGTAATACATGTTTGCACCTACTGCCATATCTTCACATTATATGTAACTTGAAAGAGGAATCCAAAGTTTGCATTTTGGCATAGAAAAACTGAAAACAATGTTTTTTAGTGTGGTTAAGTGGACCAAATCTAGTAAAACTGTCCTTACATAGCAACCACATAAACAAGAAGCAGAGAATAACAGCGAGAAAAATTGTATTGTTTTCCTTTTAGGTCACTAGTCCTCTGTTTCATAATTTTGCTATCCAAATATTAAAAAGATAAATATAAATAGTTTGCTATGTTGAATGTTTTCCTTGAACTGTGTTTTACAAAAGGTGCCATTTTTGGGGGTTTATACAGTATTTCTTGAGTATGTTTATTGGTATCCAGTGTGCAGGTTGACTTTGTCCTGTTTTACAGGCTGTTCAGCACAGGTTGGCTCAAAAAGACCAGCTAAATAAATACCATCCAGAGGTAAGGATTCTTGCAAAGAAGTCGTGTTGCATAGATGGAATTTTATTATGAAGTTAGGCAGACATAATTTCATTGTGAAATTAGCTATCAAGGAAACATTTTAAAATATTTATGTTATCCAAAACTCTAATAAAATTATAGGATTAATGAGCACCATTGGATTATTCTTGAATTTTGTTCATTCTTACAACACTTTCAGTACTGCCCCCTTTATTACAAAAAAACTCTTTAATCCTACTGATTATGAGAAATTTACCTGTTAAGAAAAGAAGCAAAGATACTCTAATGTGATTTAGAGCATCCTGAATTATTCAAGCACAGTATTTATTCAGTAGCAATAAAGAGAAAGTATATGCAACTTTTTGCAGTGTTGCATGTGTTTTTTGTTAGTAGGGACAGACTTTAGCTGAAGATTGTCTCACTGTAGAAAGAAAGAGTAGTTGTTCTTACAGCATAAGCCTTGAAGATCATCATGCTGGTTTCAGAGTGTACTGAAGCACAGAGTGCAAGTAGAATACATTATGTTTTCCAGTCCTGTTTTCAAAATTACTTTGACTTAATCTCTTTTTTTGGTACTATTTAGTTAATTTCTCATTTTTCTTCCCATTAAGCCAATTATTTGCCATAAATCAGGTACAAGTCAGCAACAGTTTTTATTAAATCTTTGTTATATCTTAGGTAAATACTTTCAAAATTTTCCCTTTTTTATCTGTAATACGAAGAATAAATCTTTTAAAATGTTGAAACATTACTTCTGTACTTAAAAAGCATTATGCATAGTAGGTATGAGCTACTGTACTTTATACAGTAACTTGTGTTATTTAAAAGTTAAAATGGGAAACACTTAAAGAATATCTATTAGCTTCCTGTATTTCTTGGGAGCTGAAGATTTGGTATCTTCATGAGCCGTACTACATAAATAGTTACGTGATATATAAATGAGGTGCCAGTCTGACAAAATGAGCTGTCAGGCTTCACAAAAATCTCTTCTTATCTGATGTTCTTTCTATTGACACAATAAGGAAGGGAGGAGAAAAATATTTTTAAAACATGAGCACTAAAATGCCTTTGTCATTGTCCAACACTACCATTAATGGGCAAAATGCTGTATTTCCGTTACAGAACAGATATGCATTGAAATTTAGTGTTAATGTTTGTTTATTGAATTTAGGGGAAAAAACCTGTTGTTTTCTTAACACATGTAGGCTGAAATTGTTATTCTGTACTCTTAATATAATTTTTAAGCCTAATTCTAATACTTTGTTATGTGTGACCTGCCACTGTCTTTTATTGCTTTGTGGAATATCCATTGCTAGCCTTTGCATCTGATGTGGGACTTTTATAGGCAATATATTTATGGCCTTTAAAACCAGCGTAAACGTCTCCAGTACTACTAGTGAAGTAAAATGAAACTTGAGAACTAAATTAACAGATTAGAACTACATATTATATTCAGGCATCTCAGTTTGCATCTGCTAGGAAGGCTTAATTCAGCTAAGTGTTCTGTTAGCTATCATTGTCCCTAAAATAGTTCTCTTTTGTCAGCTTCTTTTCCACATTATGCTATATAAAACACAACTTACTGCCTGTGGACCTTCTTCATTTTTCATTTGTTTCTGCTCAAAGTTTTAATGGTTTTACCTGCAGTGCTTCACAAAAAACTTAGTTCCTCATCAGCTAGAATGCGAGCCAGTGCAGCTTTGTACAGCTTATTGAATATTAAAGCCCTACAGTAGATGTCTCCTGATACTGAAAAAAGCTCATCCTTCCTTGCCCCTTACAAATAAGCTGAAAACTGGTTCTTCACTTCCTTATTATCACGAATGTAATGGAGGAGGCCTCACACATTTCCAAACCAGCTTTGTTTCAGTGTAGTTTCCAAATAATGCATCAATGTTACTGTTTCTTCTAGTACCAAAATTTCAAGAGTTACAAGTTTGAATCACCATATATAGACAGATGCTGGTATGATCACCAGGTGAGGGCCAGTAGTGACATACTTGTACATGCACAGTATACTGAGTCATCTTCACACATCTTAAATCTGAGTGACTGAGAAGTTGTTCTTTGACTGCCATTAAAGAGTTTATGATTGCTCTTTAGATGTGCAGTTTGCATATACCTAACATTACAAAAGTATGAATGCAACCATTATTTCCAAAGGAAATAACATGAAGATTTTAATAGTGCATGTATGAATAAGAAAATTGAAAGAAATACGAGTTGCAAACGCCAGATGCACAAAGACTTGATTAAAAGAAAATTGTCTAGATGAGCAGCTTTATTTATTCTTAATGTTCACAACAGCAGACATTAGGAATCTGAGAAATGAAACATTTGCAGAGAAACTAAATATCTAATGCTAAGGTGGAGCTTGTTCACTGAGACTTTAGCTGTGATTTAACTGTGATTATAATTTCTTTCAGAAGTTTTTTTCAAGTTTGAGCTGAGCTCTGAATTATTTTAGTTTATTACTGAAACATTTTTGGAAACTACCTCACTAATACAAGTGTACTCCGTCAACCTCAAAACCACAATTGGACTCGAAGTCTCTGTTAATTTAAATTTTAAACTATTTTTAAAACAATTGGTAGGATGTCTTGAGTACCTTTATCTAATGTACATCAGGGGCCATTTTTTTTTTTCGCAGAGATCATAAAGTCTAAAGTTGTTAGGGACTAAAGTAATAATAAATTTATGTAACTGTTTAATTCCCAGCAGTCCAGTCAGTGATCTTCCTGACTCTGCTTCTCCCACTTTCCTTGAATTTAGCAGAGCTTTAGTCTGTGTGGTCAAATAAACTATCTGGACTTCAAAACAGAAGTTATCAGGCAGAGGGCAGCTTCACTTAGCAATATGGTTGCAACTAGTTTGTGCATCTTAGCTTTGGCTTGACCCTGGGCTAGAGGAAAGATATAAATAGCAATGGACCTGAGTTCTTCAGTAGCTCCTCTTTTGTATCATTAATGGGAAATAAAGACTTGGAAAGCTGAGAGAGAGTACAGACAATAATGGGGAAATTGCAGGGCAGATACAGCATTTCATGAAAGCCATTAGATCCTTCTGGGTCCTCTGAAAGCTTGCAGAGTTAAGTGTTTTGCTGTCATGAGTGGCAGAGAATAAGAAGGAAGCCCTGTGCCATTAAGATCTTCAGAACTTTGAAATCCACTGGGATCAATATCTGTGCTATCTGTAGCACTAGCTACTTCTCTCACATGCTATATGTGAATAGGAGAACTAAGCAGATGAAAGAGTTACATGGTTTATGGTTTTATAATGTGTACTTGTAAATGATGTGTTTCATGATTTTACGTTTTTCTCTAATTTTTTTAGCTTACTACTCCAGCCATATACTGTGGGATGTACTCTGCACTTTAAAAAATATTAATGCTCCTTTGCATAACTTTCCAGAATAAATTATAGGCAAGTTATTGGGTGTGTGAAATGTAATTTGTTTTTTAAAAGAGTAGATGTATTCACATCTTCTTAGAAGAGAAGCACATTCTGAAATCCACTATCTTTTTAATGAAAGTCCAGTTCAGTAAGAGTGAAGGCCTTCCTAGATGACAGCATCTTACTGGATCAGGCAATAAGTTTAATTTACAATCTTCTCCCTGTTGTATTGTATTGCAGACATTTTATTTAGAGATTTCCTGTTAGTTCTTGTAAGGGTTTTTAATTAAGCTGTTCTTTTATTTACAAAGGTATGTCATTCCAAGGTTAAAAATACTGACCTGTCCAGAGGCACATGGTATATACTTGAAGGATTAGTGGAAGAGTATTTATTTCTTGATGTAATCACAGAACTTGCTGCTGGTCAAAAGTACGCTACGCCTCCCGTGCAACTTCTTCATTCTCTTCTAGAATATGTCCTATCGGTGAGAGATGAAGACTAAAGTATTATAAATGTTAAAGCAAGAAATAGAAGTATTATAATCTTTGCTTCTGACATTGTATTTAGTGTTTTTTAGCAATGTATTCACCCTTCACTTTGTGTTCATCAATGCGCTTGTGTTAAAAATGGAAGAATTTAATACTTAAGAAATAAGGATTTTTTTAAATTATTATTTATTTACAAGCCATATGAATGCAGTGCTCTAAATATTGTGGAAGAATTGGTCCAGAATTTTTTTTTTGCTTTTAGAAACAGCACTTATGTGACTTTTTTTTTAACCTAATAGGCCACAGACAAAGAGCCCAATTGAGAAGAAGGTTTGTTCATACATTCAGCTGGAATATCACACTAGAGCATGCTCTAGAGCAAGCTCTCCTTGTTCCCTTCCTTTTTTTTTTTTTTGTAAACTCTGAATTTTGCTGCTTGTCATTATGCATTAAATTGCATGTTACTTCACTGATTAAATTTGGTCACTTGGGATTGTAAGGAATAAAGAAAATATATAAACTCCTAGTGATTATGGATCTTTGGCAGTATGGAGCCAATATTATTTTCTCATTTTATTACAGGGAAATACTGATGCAGTATTTAATGCTAAACTTCATCACATTTTGTATGTTGTACTCCAATGTGATCCTCCTTGGAAGTCCTCGTCTATGTTGAAGTACTATTTGGATCTTCTTCAGTGTCCTATCTGTAAGAAAGGCACATGGTCCTGGATAGAGATGCTTGTAAGGTAAGAAAGTTTAATGAGGTGTTGGATGCAATAGTTGTTATGCTGTTCGTACTCAAGGAGTGGGGCAAACTGTTGGAATTCTATTGTACCAGAGTCACGTTATCACCAGAACAAGTTAATGGTATGTGAAGGTCTGGAATTATAACTGAGATTTGGATCTTTGACCTTATGTTTCAGTAAGTGTTTACTCACAGGCAGAGGAGTGGTTTTTTGAAAGGAAAAAATGTATGTTTTGTTTTATTTACTTAATTTTTAAGCTTTCCACAAACTAGAATAGTCTATGTATTGTTGCTCTTTAAATTTAAATACTTCACTACAGCTGCAATTACAGATATATGAATGTGTATAATTGTATGTCTATAGTCTTGAAGGGCATTGAATCACTGTACTTGAATCACTGTAATTGGACATTTAATACTTTTTATTATGAACATGTCACATGGAATGGAAGAGAATTTATCTTTTAGGTAATGTATTTCATCTTTTATTTCTTACTGGCAGAATGTGAATACCCAGCAATTGTATACCTGGTGGGGTTTTTTTTATACATGTTCTTTCCAATACTCAAAATTCGAGCCAAAAAAATGTGTTCACACTTTACTTCAAAATTATCTCCGTCATGTTAGACAATCATTAGACTTGACCACAAACTGTAGTCCTGTCAAATAGTGTGTGTGAACTGTTAATCTGAACTAAAGTTTATAGAATGCTACAATGTCTATAAAATATTCCAAGACTACTTTGTAATTAAAGGATTTTTAAGAAGTTCTATTAAATTCAGTAATTGTACAGTACCTCAAGCAGAGACAGAAAAATTAAATACAGTTAAATTATTTAGTTTACGTTATAATACAAAATCTTAATTTATAACACAAAGCCCCAGTCACAAACATTGTTTTTTGGGGGAAAAACCAGCTTTAAAACCAGAGAGTTAGGCTTTAAAATGATGAATGTTGCTGGGGAGCAAGGTATTTCCTTGTCAAGATTGTCAGAAGTCAGAGCTGCCTTTTTTGCCCATAGATCAGACTATGATTTCTGTCATACAAATGGATTTTTCGGTGTTTATTTTTCAGGTCTTGCCTTTATTGCAAACCCATTTGTCATGCAATCCCAGTTTCAGGGAGAGAAGATGAACAGAGGATAGTTCACAGAACATTATTGAAGTTTTTCTTTGATTTAGTAAAAGCTGAAGTAGAATTTCTGACAAAAAGGTGGGGTTTAAAGGATAATACTTTCTTATTACTTTTTTACAATTTCACATGTATTTCTGTATCCACAGCAAGTTGTATCTTGATGTTCGTATAAGGTACTGTTACACAGAGGTGCAATTGTTAGCATGTCCTTTTGTATTCCGCAATTCTTAGTTTTATTGTAAATTGTATTTTTTTCTAATGGTGTTTTAAGACCTCTAACTTTTCAGAGCCTATTATTTCACTATATTAAAAGTTTCAGTAAGCATTTAATTTTGCTCATAAAGTTGTATTTTTAGTTTTGCAATGCTTCGGTAGTCATTCTTTAAGATAGACTAGCAGCATTTTGAACACACTGGTGGTTTTTTAAATTCAGTTAACTTATCTTTTGCTAGGGAGACAATTATCTTAGTTTATGAGGTATAAAAAATATCTTGGTTTTGCTCTGCATTTATATAGTAAAGGCAGCCTTTACTTTATGTAATGTTAGCACAATATTAGAATTCCTTCAGTCTGACTGTAATAGTCATCATTATTTTACTTATTATTCATCAGAAATTGTGTCTGATCTTTCCATACTGAAAAATTGCCAAACCTTTGTGTGTTTTGACAGAAGACAAGGTTTCTGTCTGGTAACTATAGTAATCAAAGCAGCATAAAGATTTAGGTTTTTTCACTTTCTTTTTTTACAGTTTGGTTGAAGGGACCAATTCACAGCATCAGCAAGTCATGCCACAGACAATTCTTCTGAAGACCTTTTGGCTGAGAAGCGAAACCCCAGTGCTTTTTACCAAACACATAAATATTCTAGCAGATTGGGTCATACTTTCCCATAGAGAATTGAACAGAAAAAATGATGTGAGTATGAATTTTATACTTTAAAATAATGAAGACTGACATATTTTTTTTAAAGGCGTTCCTTTGTTCATTCCTTTGTGAGGAATTATATGTAAGTATCACAGCTGCTTGTTATAGCTGCCTTTTGTTGTGAAGCATGCTGGTTTTTGCTCCACTAAAGGAAATGAATTGATCCATAAGATTCTCATATTGATCTGTAGAGAAGAAACGAGTCATGAGTAGCTTGTTGGCTACGTTCAGATGTTCACATGCCCTTACCAGCAGGTATTACTGTAGTCATTAGGGACACCAGCTTAACACATCCTGTCAAACAATAAGGTGTAACGAAAGAGGTGATTATCTTATTTTACAGTGATTGTGTTCAGGAAATGTTGGAAGGAGAAAGCTAACAAAACTGATAGTTTTTTCCTGTTTTTAACAGATACGCATTATTTTATTTTAATAAATGCCCCAGTTTCCTTCCCCAGTCCTTTAGTTTCATTTGGTATCTTCCTGAGGTCTTTTCATAAAAATGGAATTGAAGGCGACTTAATTGCTGTTCTGTGACCTGATGACCAGCAGGACATTGACCTGAAAGATACTGAGTGTCCTGTATCTCACCCCTTTCTTTTCAGAAGGTAGAGGCCTTGTAAAACGTCTTTGACTTCTAGATTGTCACATAAAATACAAACTTACTGCTGTCTCTGCGTTCTCTTTTAAATTATTGTGAAAGCACAGAATAAATAGGTACTTCATTCACTTTTTCAATACAATAACAGAACAACAATAGAAAATGAAGTATTCCAGAGAAAAAAGCACTTTCAATATAATACCTAGTAGTTCTTCCTGATGTTAAGAAAGCAGAAAGATTAAACATAATGAGAGCTTCACTCATCTTACCTAGCCAGACCTCCTACCTTTTTTGAGGGCTATCAAAGCAAGACATTCTGATATAGTGCTGCCTTTTATCCTTGGTCAAGATATTAAAAAAGGTGCCTAAAATTAGGCTTCTATGCCCATATTTGTATTTAAACAACCTACCTTTTCAAAGGTACTGAGCACCAAGCAGGCTTGCATTCAGCTGGTGTCAGTAGCCATCCTGTTTCTTTGGAAAATGAGACTGCTTTCATATGTTTCCTGGTGTTGAATCTGCAGTTTAAGTGTAGGCACCATTTTCTTTTTTCAACTATGCCTTCTTTTGACAAGTTCCAGCACTGTAAGTCATACCTTTTTCATAAACTGTTCTATGCATAAGCAGAATAATCACTTGTGTCAGATGGAGTGTAGTACATATATGAAAAATAAACTTAAAAGAAAGAATGAAATACAACATAAACCACACAGACCTACCTCTTGTTTAGATTCTATTTTCTTTTTATATATATATAAGAATTGTACTTTCAGCACAAAACCCAGATGCCTGTTGCTTTCCTGCTTTGATCTTATGCACAGTAATGTAAAATACCGCTGCAGATAAGAATTCTAGCCTTAAAAAGCAGCTTGTTGCCTCATAATATCTGTAGTGTTGTATGTTCTTTCTTACAGCCTTATTCTTTAACCTCCTACTTATACATTGCATTTTTTTGGCAAAAATAAGCTCTAGAACAAAATACCATGGTTTTACATTCAAAACTTGTCATTATCCCTTTTTGCACTCTCAATTTTGTTATACTAAAACCTGATAGACTGATTTTTCCATATATTCAGAAACTCCATTTAAAATTCCATGACATAATTGAAAAGGTCTTTCAGAAAGCCAAAAGACCAAATACTCCCCAGCTATGCAGGCAGAATTGTGTTTTCTTTTCTCCTCCTTTTATTAAATTGATGCATAAATAAACCCCCAGTATTTCCATGTCATTAAATATAGCATATTGAGTGCAAAATTCTCCTTTCTGCCTTCTGTTTAAGGGTGCGAGTCATTGTTACCAGTTTTGTTTTTTAAAAACTGTTTGCTTAAGAGGCAACATATTGGCAAGAATCACGTAAGACTATTCAGAAATCTACATAAGAGGAACAACTTTGAGTATTCTTACTGTCTGCATGGGCACAGAAATTAAGTGTTTTATAGCACAGTGTAAAGGAGTGACCATGTTTCCCGTCTTACCACAAGTGTGTTAGCTCATGGGAAGAAACAAACATGCCAATTGTGATATACTGAACTTTTGTGCAATTCTCCAGTGAAAATATCTGCAAATACAAACAGATGAATAATTTAATTACATTCTTTTTTGGGGGTGTGTCTAACATTCCTTTCTAAGAGGTAAAAGTGAGCAATTTTTTTGTTTGTTTTTTAGAATCAGATTATCTTTTTTGTAATTCAAAGAGATTACAACAAATAAATCAGCACAAGAGTGGAGGAAAAATATCTGTATATGCTTCCTCTCTTCTAGTGCTGATTTGTTGCAAAATTATGGTGAATGTGTGTGTGTCTGACTGTAAAAAGAACAATCCAGAAACAGTTATAGTATTCTAAGAAAGAAAATCCATGCTGAAATTCTGAGTTACTGATTTCCTCGGCTTACATACTCTGAAGGTATTTCACTTTTCAGGCCTGTAATAACGTACATCAGAAAAAAATAACAAACGAAGGGCTATAAAGACTTAAGTTACATATGTGAGTGCATTTGCTTTCTTGTGTTAGATAGAATTTACTTTATCTTAAAAGTACCAGAATAAAATTAATGACAGGAAATTAGAGGCCCATGGTCATCACTGTGTTAATTTGTTGGGACAGCTTGGTGGAATAAAACTGATACACTATCCTTGCAGTTAAAAATGCACTGCCAAAGAGCATGGAAGTTTTTCCATCACTTGAGATCTTCAAATCTGTATTGAATATAATTTTAATATGAA